TATCAAAGTCAATGTACACAAAGGAGAGTCATCAGATTCAAGTGCTGATGAATATGTTGAAGGGACTGTACATATTGATGCTAATGGTAGCGTAGTATCAAACAATCTGAGGACCGATGTAAGCAAGTTACAAAGGAAATATAAGTCCATTAAGAAGTCCAACAAGGAATTAAGGAATCTGGTAGTAGCGCAGTCAGATCAACTTACTCAAATAATGGAATTACTAAAGTCATCACATAATGCAGGTTTGCTTGGAACAAGTCCAAGTAGAATCGCACAAGGTACAGCAGAGTCATTAAGGCCACAATATGCCTCATTCACAAATGCGGTGTTAAATGCAAATATAGCATCTACGCGCATTGATGATGAAATTAAAAGATCAAGTCAAGTAATTGAGGAAATGATTGGAGGATCAACTAGCAACGAAGCAATTCAGAAACCTTCATCACATCCACCGGAAATAAGTGACAATGAGAGTCACATTGAAACAACTTTGAGGCAGCTCAACAAGCTGTCGTTGAATGAAATTCGTCGTAACTTACCTAAGATTGAAAAGTTTGATGGTAATCCTGAAAGATGGTTGACGTTTGAAAGAGCAGTTATGAGGAACTGGAAAGAAGGAGAATATACTGATGACCAAATAAAGTCTCACATCAGACAAGCATTAACGGGACAAGCCCTAGCACGTGTTGATAGTTTATATCTGAATATGTCATCACAGAGACTTATGGATTATTTGAAGGATAGTTTTGGGAATGCATCGATTGTTGTAGAGAGTGCTCGCTCAAAGTTGATGAGTGCTAAATTATCCAAACCCTTAACTCATGCATCATGTGTTGAAGTAACAACAAGAATAGCAAACTTTTTGGCAGCATGCAGTTATGCTGGAATAACAATAGCAGACACAAGCGTTTCATCAAAACTTCACATGCAGCTTGAACCGTATCATCAAGAGTTATATTACAAATTCTTTTATGAAAAGAATCCAAAGGCCATTACAAGAATGGAACGATTGGACGTTCAGTTTGAGTTTTTGAACAGTCTTTCGAAAACACTTCCGTTAGGACAGTTCAAATTTGAGGATGATAAAGGAAGCAAGAATAAAGAGAAGGATTATCAAATGATGACAGCATCATGCAGCAACAACACATTCAAAGGTTCGTCATATAATTCAGATGACTACAAATACGAGATCAGAGATAATCAGACAGCAACATACTTAGGATACAACTTAGAGAAAGTGAAGCAAATTCCAAAGAAGTGTGAAATTTGCTCAGGTACCAATCATTACACTGTAGAGTGCAAGACTTATCGTGAAATGAAAATGGATGAAAGGTATAACACCGTTAGGACTAAACATTTATGCATAAACTGCTTATTATCAACGCAGCATTTTGCAAAGGATTGTGATGTCAAACGAAGTTGTGGATTTAAAGTAGATAAATCTACAAGATGTTCAGCAAAACATCATATCACTCTTCATCGTGGTAAGAGTGAATACAATTACAGCAAACCGAAGAAGAAGCCGAAACAAAGCAGCGATTCGTCTTCAAGTTCATCGTCATCAGATGAAGAGAACAGTTCAGTAACCAACAAGGAGGTACAACTAGACGAAGATGAAATACTTTCAAAGCCACAGGACAAGTGATCTTCTGGGGCGCGCGAGGATGTCGTTAAGCGAACGACAGAATTATATAAAATCAACAGTTGATTTCAAGAGTTTAAAGTAAAATAGTAATTCCTTTAGTGCTATATTAAATTTACAATGTACATGCATATTTCATGCATATTTATAAGTAATTATTGATAGCAAAAGGAATCTTTAAGTAATATATACACATTTGTAACGATCATTTCCGATTAGAAGTTTCGCATCTTTTTTGAGCTTGAGAAATACCAAGCAATTGGAACTGAAAAGTTCTTTCCCTTCGTATCGTGATCGAGTTAACACGTCTTGTTACAAATTTTTCTAAAACCTCCCCTTATGGTTTAATTAGTGGAACCCAATAAAGTGAAATAAGTGTTAAAAGAAAATTATCGATTTGTTACTCAATCACACAGGACATTATTGGCTTCATCAAGGACATAGGAATTTTATCATAGATGGCTTGGGATGGTACAACAGATCATCGATCGCAGTGCCGTTTTTGCTCTAAGCAAAACCCTACATTACATTCTATCTATCTAGCCAATTAAAAACTGATTATTGATCTTAGAACTAGTGTTCATGTCGGCTTTCGTTCCATCTGCAGGTCCGTTCTAGTAAAGGCCCTCCATGGTGAATTTACGGCTCTCGTATCTTTCTCATTCTGTCTACATAATTCTTGACCCGTTCCTTGATCTCACATCGCTTAATTCTTAGTTTTACGTCTTAAACTGCTGAAAAATCACAAGGCTGGTGGTGGGATTCGAACCCGGGAGCCATAATTCCACACCAACTTTTCTTAAAAAGCTAATATTTTGCAACTCTTTAATAATTTTCCTTTAAAAAATAATCGTGTCGAATTCGATCTCAAAAATTTAATATTCAAAATTTTTATCAAATTATATACGTTTTTGTTTGTAATCTTTGATTAAAGTTTCAATAATGAATAATTATATCGAACTATTCAAGGCCTCAAACCAGAGGAGCAAAAGGAAAATATTTGGCAAAGTCAAAAGCAATTCTTCATCAATTCTGTTTCAAACTTAGTGAAATACTGAAAAATGTTGTACTCCTATTTTAATTTCCATATTAATTTGTAATTGTGCAAGAACTAAGTCATTAATCAGATTTTCATAAAGTTATTTATCAGAACTTTTAATTATGCAGAATTTGGAAAAAAATGTTTGTTAAAAATTCTGGAGAATAATTCAGCAGAATAAAAATAAGTTCTTCAGAATTATTCTGGTTGATTTTTTTTTTGTTACAACCATGTCACGCAACATTTATCAGAATTATTCTGTTGTTATCAGAATTATTCTGCAGAATTTATCAGAATAATTCTGCAGAATTGTTGCGCAACTGTTGAGCAGAATTATGCAGAATTATTCTGTCTATCCTATACAACAGATTCATCTTGATCTGTTTTAAAAAAATGTTCTCGTTGTAATGAAAATCGTTTAAAATTATTATTTTTCTTCAAGCAAAAAGTTTATTTGGTATAAAAATACTGTGAGAATTAATGATAAAACCTGTTATGTTATCGTAGTTTTGTTTATATTGACTCATAATACACGGATAAATAGATAAGAATATAAATTATTGTATTCGAAATTAAGCTTTTAAGCAACGTTTAAGAATATCTCAAGATAAAAATTTAATTAAATAAAATCAAGTTTAATGTATGCCATAAAATTGAATACGAATAGAGAAATCATATTTCCCGTAAAAAACATTTAATAATGTTGAATAAAATATGTTGAATATATCGAATATAATTATGAATGACTGATGGTATGGTAGATGATACTTAATTTTAAGTTATTATTAATATTATTAAAGTTTCATGATTTTTTTTTTTGTTAGGAGGACGATGATAAAGTTATTGAGTATCAAAATATTAATAATATTATTTGGTTCTGTCTCAAAACTATTTAAATTTTTTTCGATTAGCAGGTAGGTAATTTGTATACAATATAGTCATTAATTTCATCATTTTTGTCTGATTACTGTTTCTTTTTTTTGATTTCGATAACGAATCTTATTTTTTTTTTGTACACTTAAATAAAAATAAAAAGACTTTACGAGTAATTTCGATTGTTCTCTTTTGTAAGTTATTATTTTTTTTTCATTCTTGTTATTTTAGATTTGTACTTCGGGAGTGAACAGCTTGTTTAATCCAACTTCTATCATCTCAATCATTTGTTTTGTGCATTATGACTTGTTCACAATCCTCCTGAGTTTCCTATCATTTAATATTATTTATAAATTGTATGCGTTAATATCTATTAATATTATTATTGTAATAATGACTAGGTAGATAGTCTTTACCTTAATGTCTATGAAAAAAATCTTCTTATATCTTAATCGACATTCAAAAATCAAAAAAAAAATTGCACGTGATGCGGTAAAATCAAAAACCACATAAAATTTTTTATCCTTTTTTTCCTCATTAGTATTATTATTATAATTATTATTATTTGTAAATAATATAGTATATAGTTCCTTATAAAAAGTTTCTCGCAATATTTTCATGTTAATACTAAGCAATATAATTTTCGTTTAAAAATTAAATTTTGTTTCTTGTATATAAGTATCATAATATATGTAGTAAATTTATTTATGTTTTTTTGGTTTTGCAAAGTCTTGAAATTATACTTGGATAAGCTTTGTTTTGGTGCATTTTCCAATGAAAATTTTTCGCTTCGAATATGTGGCTGGAATGTGAGATCTGGGTATGATTTTAAGGCTCATGATTTTCTACCGTTACAGAAAAATTTAAAATAAATGTTCCGATACCCTTTTGAATTTTGGAAAACGTTAAAAATTCATAAAAAATTTCAAGTCTGTTAATTTACTGATTGTTTCATGAAAAATGCAATAAAGTTGCCAAGAGCAATTTTTTAACTAGTTTTGATAAAGAACTTTTGGTTCCCTTCATTTCATGCCGAATCTGTTGCTAGATAATCATTAAAAATCCATTCCAATTAAACTATATAATATCTAAGTGACTAAAAATCTTTTTGGAGACAATTACGATAAATAATATACATAAATACTTGGTATTATCCGTATTTTCAATAAATAAGAAATCTGGGAAAATAAATTTAAAAAAATATCACAACTTAAAATTCTCATTTAAAAATGACTTTGAAAGAGACTAGAATCACTAGTTCATTAAATATTGCAAAATGTTTGAATAAAGGAAACTGGCATTAAAATTCAAAAGTAAGGAAAGATTCATTAATTAAAAAAAAAATCCAATCACCATCTAAAAACACGTGTCAAACCTTACTGTCTAGAAAAACCCCACTGTGTTAATTTTTACGATCTACCAAAAGTCCTTGAACGAATTTCCTCAGGATGACGTATTGTGTAAAATGTGTCCCGTATGCTGAGGATTAACAGTCCCATTTCCATTATTTTGTGCGCTCATCTCCGATTTGACCCGTCTTGCAATGTGCGAGCGTGTATGCTTCCTCAAGTGGTCTTTCCGATAGAAACCTGTTTAAATTATGACATTTTTACCATGAAGAGGAATTGCTTCAAGAAGGCATAACTCACCTTTTCCGCATTCACTGCAGACGTGCTTCTTTTCGCCACTGTGTATAACATAGTGTAGTGTTAATTGCTCTTTTCGTTTGAATGTCTTCATGCAGATCTAAAGGAAGAAACAATAAATTAGTAAAACTTTTAGTAAGTAAAAGCTTCAAGAGCTAACATTGCAAGCATGTGGCCTGTCTGGTATGTGACTAAGTTTGTGTCGCGTAAGATGATCTTTTCGCTTTAGAGCAGCACTACAGATGTCGCATTTAAAACGTCTCTCAACAGCATGTTGTACAACGTGTTGTTCGACCAGATCACGTTCAGGCAAAGCCATCTGACATTCTGGACAGCAATACAGGATGGTTCCATCAAGTGCTGTCTTCTCGCGAATCTCACCAGGTTTTGGTCGAGGCTTTCGCTCTTTTGGAGGCTTCTTCTTTTTGGGTTTTTTCTCAGTGTTTGTCTGCTTATTAGACTTTTTGCGCTCTTTCTTTATTTTTGTTCCTGTGGTCGTTGTTGGCGTGGTGGTTGAAATATTTCCATTATTGCCAATCTGTACCATAGTTGGGCTTTTCATATTAAGTCCAGTTCCATTTTGATTGTGACTTAAAAGCATCGAATTATGAGTTGGAATGTTAATGCTGGAAGAATGGTGATGATCCATGTTATTGTCATTTCCATTAATGAAATTGTGATGTTGATGATGATTTAAATGATGCTGATTAACCATAGAAGCAACATTTGATATTAAATTCGATCCAACAGAGTTTTTCAGACCAAGTAAATCACTCCCTGTATTTAAAAGACTGCTCATATTATTTGCACTCGTATTTACAGCAGACGATTCCTTCTTAATACTCTCCGAATATTTCAAAATATGTTGGATCGATATAGGCAACGTAGCTGATAATAAATGTGACGAATAGTCAGCTCCATTCGATGGATTCCATGATTGATTCATACTATGAAACGGCAATACCTCATCTCGTTCCATTTTTGATGTGAGAGATTTTGACTTAACATCTCTATCGTAATCATGGTTTTGTGGCTGATATAAATTCTGTCCATAATGAATTGTTGAACTCGATACTACGAGGAGGAAAAATAATCGGAAATGATGATAATTAAAATCATTGCGAGTCAGAGAAACGAAAAATCAATAATCGCCATTTTAAAAAAAAACCGGAATTTTCCATTTTCTTTAACACAAATTTTTCTTCTTATTTCACATCCTTACCATGCTTCTTACCTGATTGTGTTGATGGATTTGAGGTAGCTTGAGAATTAATTAAATTTTGATTGGAGTAACGGATCTGATGATTATCATTGAAATTAGTGGAAAATTGATGATTTTCATTTTGATGATTGAACTTATGCAAATGAAAATTTCCACTTGAGAATGAAAAATTCATGTTTATAATGATGTAGTGGATGTATAAACTTAAATTTTCAACACTTAATATGATAAAATAAAATTAATTCATTTTAAGTGAAAATTTTCTTTTAATTATTTCCTCTCTTTTTCCAATTATCCTTGCAACGTTGCCGACTTTCACTAAACAAACAAAAAAATATTCAAACATTTATCGACTGTTGCATAAATTTCAGGATAAACTAGTAAATGCTAAAAAAGTTTTTTATTCCTATTTCTGTGTTGAATTTTTTGATTTAAATCCTCTTGCTAATATAAACATTTCAGCACTATCTGAACGTGAGGCGTCTGGCTTAACATAACGACATGTCTCATAATATTCCTTGACAGCATTAACATACTTTCCTAACTCTCCATTGCTCCATACTTTAACTAGCATTGTATTTGCTCCTAAATTCTTTGAAAAATCAAATACCGAGTTGACTAATTCCATTATATTCTCTTGATCCAATGACTTGATTCCACTAGAGTTTGGTGCCATGTCAGACACTATTGTTGTGACTTTCCTTCCTTCCAATGCCTTTAAAATCTTTTCTTTTGCTGCTTGAGTTGTAAAATCTGTATTGCCCAGAAATGTAACACCTTCTAATGGATATATCTGCTGCTTATCAATTCCAATAAGAAATCCTTTTACTTTTGTCTTATCTCGTCCATCAGAATTGATTGCTCTAACACACACTTGACTCCAACTTCCTGTGTCAATAACATAAAAATTCAGCATATCACTTAAATTCTAAAAATACGTTGAATTTTACCCGGTGCACATCCAATATCAATCACTGTTTCTCCTGGATTTAATAATTTGTACTTTTGATTCATTTCTATTAACTTAAAGGAAGATCTGCATCTGAGAGTAGCAAAATTTTTAAATAATCATAAAAATTGTGAAGAAAACTTGAATTTACCTGTAATTTTCAATCTTAGCTTTCTCGACATATGGATCCTTGAACTGTCTAATTAGCCATTCCTGTGAAGCTTTCTTTCTGCCTTTTAAACTAAGTGGTAACTTACTGTAAAATCTTGCAATTAAAGATTGATTCATTTTTTATTCCAAAACAAGTTGTTCAGTAAACAATGCGTTATTCCCTTATGTTAGAATTATGCAAAAGAATAATTTGTTTCGTGGTAACTAGCTAGAGAACATATTTTAATTGTCGAAAATATCTTTTTTCAAAGTTTTATTCTTACAGGTAAATTCAGCAAGAATTTATAAGTTCTGGGTACGAGAAGACTCTATTATTAACAAAAACTAGTAATGAAGCCGATCACGCTTCATGGGAATATTCACACAATCGTATAGAACTCACCATCTACATATTATTCAGTTAAGTCTTAACATAAACACTTTGTTGCATTATCAATAAATAAAATTAAATTTTAAAAATCACTTCAGCAAAAATCATAAAACTTATACACATTTTATATATATTCACACCGATTTCACGTATGAATCTATTGGTTTTGTTCAGATTGAAAAATCAGTTTTTTGCATTTTGTGAGAAAACGGAGCAAAACTGGCTGTAAAAGGTCCGAGAAGAAAAGTTTGTGCCTGAAATTTCACACCATTTGCAAAAAACAGATTTCAAATTGGTTGTGGCATTGCTGAGAAAATCGCAAAATACGCTTTCTGTAAGCAAGCAAACAAGCATGTAAGTTAATCAGCAAGAAATCTCAATAACGAGACATCGTAGAGACTTCTAGTTTTTTACATTTGATGCGTGCTGCTCTGTAGATGAGCAGTATTGTTTTTGGGCAGGGTAGGAACAGCCGTTGCTTCAGAAAAAACAAAAAACTTTCCTTTCTTACGAATTTTTTAAAACAAAAGTTCACTGTGATTTTTATAAAATTAAACTTTAAATGAAAAAATTTTTTTAAAACTTTTAAAGAATGCTCGTTTTGTTTTATACCTTCAAACTTATGCTGATTGAAGCTCAGCTGACTCGCTAGCTTTATACATATAAACTAATGCTGAGCAAATCTTGGTCTATCCATAAGACTTTTGATATTACGGTGTGCATATATCCGCATTGGGTTTCTACCCGATACACTAGTTGGTTCCAGTGTCTGCATAGAAAACAATATTTACTTTTTTTTGTAAAAAAAATACATAAAGTTTAAACCCATTCCTTGCTGTATTTTACACATATTTAACTTTAAGGACGTTTTTTGCATCTAGTGTTTCACTGGAAGCATCGCATGACTCCAAAAACAATACAGTTCTTGCCATTCTCAATAGATACCTTATGCAAAAAACTTGTGTGAATAAGATATAAAATTTATCAATATAGCAATCTTTTGTCGCATGCAACGAGTAAAATTAACGGTCGATGATTTTAAATGTATTCGAGTGAAGAGGGTAGATCCAGTACGGCTTGATAGCATTCGCCATTTTTCATAGCCTTGAATCTAGTACTTTTTAAATTCATATTCGTTTTCCCAAGATTTTTAAAACATTAAAATTGTAATAATATTTTAATTATAAGCGTAATTGCAAAAGTTTAAATATCTTGGGTTAAATTTTTAAGCAAGTTGTAGACACTATATTTGGTTCGTTTAGTAAAAAAGTTGATCTCGTGATTATGAATTGTGAAATTTGATGAAGTGAGGCGATAGAAAAGAGAGAAAAAAACAACAAAAATAAAAATTATCAAAATAAACATGATTCTTTACTTGTTCATGTACTTATATCAAGCATTAATAAGTTAATAGCATTAGCAATGTAATATAATATATGCAGTGAACTAAAAAATAGATTTAAATGGTAAAAAATGTAATTATCAATCTAATGGATGTAAAAAAATAAATAGACGGGAGATTTGAAAAACTAAAATTTATTAGTCAAATAGCAGAAAAATCAATCAAAAACACTAATTGAGTGCAAGAAAGTTGTTAAAGTGCAAAAATTTGATTAAAAAAGTCAAAGTTTCATTGAGAAATTGGATAACTAGGAACTGTTTTTGGACTTGGAAAAAAAGTTGCATAGAAGAAAAAAAAAGTTATTGGAAACGAACTATATGAAGGAGAGAAAAAAAAGAGTCAGCTTAGAACTCCAACGTGAAGAATAGAAAGGAAGAGCAAAAAGGAATTATTATTATCAAAACGAAAAAGACATAAATAGGTTAAAAATCCTTTTTGATTCCCATTACTCCGTCTCGACTTGAAAGAACATCAATTTATTGTTGTTATATCAGAGTCGCTTATTTTATTCATTATATTTTACCCAAAAAAAAACCTAGCTCATCATAGAGTACAATATCAGGTATTTCACGTTTGATTTGTTGCCTTTGGATTGGGAATGGGCGCAAAGAGAATCAATAACTTAAGGCCGAAATGAAGGAGATGGTGAGTAACAGAATTGGTTAAATCTATTTGACGTTACTAATGCTCTTGTTTTAGGTCGGTGGATGTTGTGTCTGTTCGGACGAGAGGGGTTGGCCAGAAAACCCACTCGTCTATTGTGATGGTCAAAACTGTACAGTAGCTGTACACCAAGCATGCTATGGAATTGTCACTGTACCGACAGGTCCGTGGTATTGCAGAAAATGCGAGTCGCAGGAACGCTCTGCGAGAGTTCGATGTGAACTCTGTCCATCTCGTGATGGCGCTCTAAAGAAAACCGATAATCAAGGATGGGCTCACGTTGTTTGTGCTCTTTACATTCCCGAAGTAAGATTTGGGAATGTATCGACCATGGAGCCCATCATTCTTGCCCTTATTCCTGCTGAACGCTATAACAAATGTAAGGTGTAATCTCGTTGAGCTTTAAAACTAATTGTTAATTCGTAAAATTATCTTTCAGCATGTTATATTTGCGTAGAAATGGGTAAAGGATCAAAAGCGAATGTTGGTGCGTGCATGCAATGCAACAAATCAGGATGTAAACAACAGTTTCACGTTACATGTGCGCAACAACTCGGATTATTATGTGAGGAAGCAGGCAACTATTTGGATAATGTAAAATATTGTGGCTATTGTCAGCATCATTACAGTAAATTGGTGAGTCCAGTAACTTTAGGATCCATTGTTAAGCCACCTATATTAATAATTTGTTTATTTTAGAAAAAGGGAGGGAATGTGAAGCCAATTCCTCCATATAAACCAATATCGCACCATGAAACAAATTCGAGTGATTCACCGTCATCTCCTGAAAAGGAGTCTGAAATGTCACATACATCTTCACGCTCTAATCGACCGACTGATCCTTTAGCCACAACACCATTATCATCTAGTAGTAAGCAAAAGAAATCGAGCAATACAAAGAATTCCTCATCGAGTTCGAATGTGCAAATTCCTTATTCGGGCAGCTCAAATGCGACTCCTGCGAATGTTATTGCGTCCAGCAGTAATAGTGGGGGTGGTGGTGGAAGTTCACGGAATTCGTCTTCGTCTAAAGATAAAGATGGCAAACATAGTTCAAGCAGCAGCAGTAAAAATGTAAATAAAATCTCATCTAGTACAAATAAGCATGATAAAGATCCATACTCATCGTACTCTTCTCGTGGTGATAAGAACAAATCATCATCCTCATCATCATCATCATCATCATCAAAAAGTAGTCATCAAAGTCAGAATGTAAGCAATAAAGATGATGGTGTATCTAGCAATAGTAAGTGGCAAATTTACTAAAACAAAGTACAGAGCCAATCACTCTAAACTCCATATTTTCTCTTAGGTCATAATTCATCAAAAAGCTCATCACAATTTTCTACATCAACTACAACCATAAGAATAACGACATCTAGTGCCACACCAACGTCACCTGTATCAACAATTATTCATAAGCATGATGGAAGTAGTTCAACATTGAAAGATAATGTTGTTCCATCGTCTATAAATACCATAATGTCCTCACAAGTACAGAACTCATCGAAAATGAATGATGATACTGATGAAGACTTAAAGGGTGGTAGTAAAATGAGTGCTGGAAGCTGGCATCAGAATAGCATGTCAACAACGGCTGGACAAAAGCTGGGAATGTCAAATTATTCAAGTGGAAGTGGCTCATTGTCAAACTCAGAAGGAGTAAATGATACAAATGATTCTAACAAAGCCACTTTTTCGGCAATGACAAAAAAACGAAAAGCTATGCATCAGGCAAATTCATCCAATCGAAATAGCGCTGATGAAAATGTTAACAAGTATGCCTTGCTCAATTAATTTATTGACTTGAATTGTACTTTTCAACTCTAACATTTTTCTCTCTTATTTTCATTTCTGTCTTATAATAATTTAACAGGGACATATGTAAGGATTTGAGTGTAAAAGTCGTTCCTATTGACAAGTTCGACCCATCTGTCAGTGAATTTGAGCGGCATTACAAAAAGGTATGTGTAGATTCTTATTAGATAAAAAAGAAAGATGAAAATATTGTAAGCATGATTTTCTTCTCTCTTTTTTCATCATTCAAAACATGAAAACAACTAAGACACATAAATATTCCTTAATGTGTGCACAGCACTATTACAGTCATCTTCATTTGAGCACTCTTTCCTTAAAAACGTGTTCTTGGTGCTAAATTTGACACCCTTTGTTCTAATTTTTGAAAAGTGATTAAATTTATTAAGGTTTCAAGAAATATTCTTTAAACTTTTCAATTCTTTAAAAATTCAAAAAATTATAACAATTTAATTTTTTTTGCAAAAAAAAACATGAAAAAAAATATGCGTTTACATCTCCCGAGTTACGTCAAGTCTGAAACTTTTCCTCGTCTATTGTCATCAGACTGATCTAAAATTATTCTCATTTCTCTTCTTTCGATAATCCGTACAGTAGTGTTGAATAAACGTACATGTGTATACATACGTTCTCTGTTTCCCTTTGTCGACTTTTCTCATTACCTTCGACTTTTGTTGTTGTATTAACCCTCTTCCTTCTTTACACTAGAATTTTTGATTCTAGCCAGGTAAAAAACAAACATGAAAATATAAAAATTACACACATTTGTACCTTTTCGTACCATCAGGATGGTAAAAAAAAATTAAAAAAGAAAAAAAAACAGATTGTTGATTATTTTATTGAGTTCCTTCGACCTCGAATTTATTA